GTTGATGATTAAAAAACAAAGAATCAAGAATTTCAAACTTTAGTCATAATTTGACCTCCTGGCATGTACTTAGACTAAAATTGGTAAAGCACTTTGAACATGGACAGCAATATATAAATACATGTACACATTCTTTTGCCAAGAGTGACATTTGTGCTTGCAGCATCTGAAACTTTAAATGCTTTACAAAACAAAAAACATTCATTGGCATCTCAGGTCTAGCTTTTAAAGTATGTTAGTTATTTCACTACTCTAACAATGAAAGAAGTATTTAAATGGTCAGAGATTGTGTCTCACCCTCTTGCAATTGGTACTTGGAAATGAATTATCCTGAATTGGAAAAAGACTCAGCTGAAGACTCAACTCTAGGATGTGCTCCCTTTAGAGGACTTCCAGATCCAAAATATGACCAGCTTTAAACCACCATGTAAAATATCAATTTAGCTTTATTTTTAAATTGTTTTCTTTTGACTAAGGGTATGTCTTCACTACCGGCCGGATCGGTGGGCAGCGATCGATCCAGCGGGGATCGATTTATTGTATCTAGTCTAGACATGATAAATCGATCCCCGAGCGCTCTCCCATCAACTCCTGTACTTCAGCTCGGCAAGAGGCGCAGGCAGAGTCGACGGGGGAGAGGCAGCAGTTGACTCACCGTAGTGAAGACACTGAGGTGAGCAGATCTAAGTACGTCGACTTCAGCTATGTCATTCATGTAGCTGAAGTTGCGTAACTTAGATCAATTCCACACACACACACACACCCCCCAGTGTAGACCAGGCCAAAGGGTCAACATTGTTTTTTATCATCTCTGTAGATTCCAGTTATAATTTGGCAGTGCAGAGTGGTTTCTGTAAGTAATGTGTTAATATAGTAATTATCTAGCTGCCATGATAGCCCTTCTAGGAATCAAGAAAATAATTTAGCTTTAACAAACAAACACTAAGGCTTTATCTACACTACACAGCTTTTAGTGACACAGCCGTGTTTCTACAAGTCGGGCAGTGTAAACGCTGTTTGTCGGCACTTTTGCCAACAAAATACTTCCATCCCCTGCTGTAAGCACTCCTGCCGACAACGAACCGGTTACACTGCAACTTGCCGAGGCAAAACTTGGGGGGGGGGGGGGGGCTTCTTTAAGCACTTGCGAATGACTAAAGTTTTGTCGTTCAATTGGCAGTGTAGACAAAGCCTAATACTTTTCACTTACATAATGCCTTCCATCCAAGTGTTAATTAATGTTTGTAAAGCACTTCTTAATCTCACACCACCTTTGTTAGGAATCAGTGGCAGAAAACAGAACCCAGGCTTTCTTACACCCAGTTCTATGCCTTAAGAAGAGGAATATCCTACTTCAATTAGGCCACACTCTTGAGTGTCCTAAAATATTAATGTACATCCAATTATCTCCATTATATTACTGTACTGTAATAACTTCTAAGTTAGTGCACTATGTTTTATTTATTTGGAACTAAAACAGTTTTTAATCCATTTAGAGTACGTACAAAAATGGTTGCAGCATGTTACTGATTTTTTTAAATTAAATTATATTTTAAATTAATTTTGTCGTAGGGTTCTGATGACATCATTAAGTAGGATGACATGGTTGCTATCAAAATAACCACTCACTGAACACGAAGATACCTGCAGAGGAGATTCCCTCATATGTTCGAAAATGCTAGTAGGGGTTATGCATGCATGTTAAGAGCAAAACAGGCCCATTAATTAAATAACCTTTGGAAAACATAAATGGTAATATGATCCCATGCAAAAAAGTATAATTTTATGACATTTCCGTATCCCTGTTAAGGATTAATAACAATAAAAAGTTACTACCGTAATTTGATAAAAGGTTTCACAAATTGTATTGACATTGGAATATTTTTTTCAGCTCAGTAAATGAGACTGCATATGGTGTTTTATTACCTTGAAAACTTTGTATCACCTTACAGAAAGAAACATTTCCTTGTGTACATATGAGCTAAATGCAGCTGTTACAGTAGTGCAGGGGTTCTCAAACTTCATTGCACCGCGACCCTCTTCTGACAATAAAAATTACTAGACAATCTCAGGAGGGGGGACCAAAGCCTGAGCCCACCCGAGCCCCCACTGCCCATGCAGGGGGGCGGCGGCAAAGCTGAAGCACAAGGGCTTCAACCCCAGTCAGAGGGCCTGTAACCCGAGTCCCAACACGCAGGGCTGAAATCCTCAGGCTTCGGCCTCGGGTGTTGGGTCTCGGGCTTTGGCCCTGGGCCCCAGCAAGTCTAAGCCAGCCCTGGCAACCCCATTAAAATGGAATTGCAGCTCCCATTGGCCGGTTTCTGGCTGTGAGGACAGTGCTGGGGGTGGGGGCAGCGCGCGGAGCCACCTCCCCCCACACCAGAGGTGCACACAGATGTGCCAGCAGCAGCTGGCTGCTTCTAGGAGCGGCATGGGACCACGGCTGAAAGGCAGCCTGCCTGAGCGCCCCGCTGTGCCGCGGGACTTTTAGTGGCCCAGACTCGGAGATCGCAAAGGGGCAGAGGAGGCTGGACAGAAATGTTAGTCATGGTGGGCCGGACAGAAATGTTAGACGGGCCGGATCCAGCAAGCAGGCTGTATTTTGACTTCCCCTGATATAGAGAGAGTAAATGAAACAATGAATTCATACTGCTGGGGTTCATTGGGTAATTGTTATTGTTAATTTGGCTCCTGAACCAATGAGATCTGAGTATAACTGGCTGAAACTAAGGAAGAACTTCAGAACATGCTTATTGCTGCAAACAATGTCAGCAAGAAATATGGAGTGAGGATCGACATTAGGAAGACAGAAAGTATGATGATAAATAAACACAGAGACCAGAGATGCCAACTTTCTAATTTCCCCAGGGGTGCTCAACCCCCGCTCTGCCCCAGGCCCCACCCCCACTCCATCCCTTCCCCCAAAACCCCACCTTGCCCCACCTCTTTCCACCCCCCCTCTTCCCACCCCTCCCCCAAGCACACCCTGCCCTTGCTCTGCCTCTTCCTGCTCCCTCTCCTCCAGCCCACCACTGAACAGCTGATCCTTGGCAGACAGGAGGCGCTGGGGAGGGGAGGAGCTGATCGGCGGGGCTGTCGGTGGGAGCTGAGCCCCCACCTATGACAGAGATGCACAAGACAGGCAACACCTATTACTTGATGGTTGATAGGTGAAATAAGTGTAGGGAGTCTAATGGAAGATGTGATGAAGAAATCAAAAGAAGGATACAGTTTGCAAAAGTATTCAACAACTTCCAAAGACTTCTGTGTTATCAAAATTAAAACTCCATATATCCTCACTAAATTGCTTGCTAAACTGCTACCTACAGTCAATTCTCCTGTTTGGATTTGAGAGCTGGACACTTAAGAAGGACACTGAGAAAAGACTCAAAGCATTCAAGCTTTGGCGTTATAGATGAAAGTTAAAAATTATCTGGAAAACCAAAACTAAGAATGAAGCAGTGATGAGAAGGATGAGTTTTAAAAGAGCTCAATTACCTAAGACCCTAGGGCTTGGTCTACACTAAACCCCCAAATCGAACTAAGGTACGCAACTTCAGCTACGTGAATAACGTAGCTGA